GATGGGACCTGACCCCCAAGAGGCTCCGAGCTCAGGGAAAAGCATTCGCGTGTTTATCGGCAGCCACACTCTGCGACTCCATAGTACGGATTTGCTGCTCTCGCAGAACCTGATGACACTCTACGGCAACAACCGCGACAAGCTCAGTGTGCCCTTTGTGCGGCCCGAGGACGACGCGGTCTTCAAGAACCTCATGACAGTCAACAGCGCGCCCTGGAGACCACGTCTCAATGCTGCGGCGCCAGAGTTTGTGTCGGGAGATAAGGGAAGCAGCAAGACAGCAGCATCGCCAAAAGACGAGGCTGCGCAGCCGGAGATCAAACCTTCGGCCAACGGCTCCGAGACCCTCGTGTCGCCCAAGAGCCAGCCCAACGAGACAGACAAGGGCCCGATAGCCACAAGCACCGCTTCAGAGAGCGGAGCCGAGAACGAAAAGCGACCCCGAGTGCCCTCTGCGGGATCCACCAACACCAAGGAGAACGTTGAGTCGCCGGATGGAAACCGCCGCGAGACCAACAACGTGGCCATCCGCACTCCATGGCGGCCGAGCGGAGACACCTCGTCGCGTGACAGCACCCCTCTGAGCGGATATCAACCGGCCACGAGGGTCCGCAACATGAAGGTCCTCCGGCCCACCAAGGCGAGCTCGGCCAAGACCGGAGCCGCCTACGAGCCCCCGACGACGTCGAGGTCAGCCAGCGATCTCCGGCGCAAGGACGGACAGCCGTCGAGCAGCAGCAGTGCGAGCAGCTGGGGCAACACCAAGCGCAGCATCAGCACCAGCACGACGGTCGGCGGCGGTGGTCTCGGGCTGGGCGATGGTGGGCTCCCGTCGCCGGCGGCCGCGAGCCACGCGGATGCCGCGAAGCAGTCGGCGGTGCCACGGTCGGCGAACCCGCTCGGAAGCGCGACGGCGTTTTCTTTTCTCAAGGGTCCGTCCAAGACGCCCACGGCCGCCACGGATTAGCTGCCAGGTGACAGGTCGCAGAGGCCTGGAGGGTGGTACCGAGGACGATCGCAGGGAGGCATCTGGGGGGGAGGATGCGGCTGTGAGCTACGCAGATGTCGCGAAGCCGTCGGCGGTGCCACGCCACCAGATGCTGGGGGGAGGTATAAAGGGCCATCGAAAGGAGGCATCCGGCGAGAGAGATGATGAACGTAAATGGACTTGGCCAGCCGCAGCCAGACACGGCCAAGCGACACGTTGTTTTTTTTTCTGCGCAGATAGGCTTTGCACATTTGCTCAAACCAATAATACAGCGAAATGCCAGACCAGCAATGCCATGTGACAGCAATATCATGACAAGACCCTCTTCCATCCCACCCCCAACTCAAATCTTGGCCGCCACCCCCCCAACCAATCCGCTGAGCGCCGCCCTCGACCCCGCCGCGCTCTCCTTGACCAGCTTCACCAACCCCCTGAACTCGGGCGCCGCCGAATCCCCCAGCACCTCGTAAATCCACGCCTCGCTCGTCGTCACCGTCGCCCCCGCCGCCCTCAGCCGCGCCAGCGCCACACCAACCTCATCCCGATGGCTACTGCTCACCCCGTCGGCAAGAACATGCACCCTGTGCCCGGCCGCCATGAGGTCCAGCGCCGTCTGCGTCACGCAAATGTGCGACTCGATGCCGACGATGGCGACGTCCACCACCTGCCCGGGCTTGGCAAAGGTGGCGTGCGTCGACACGGGCGGGATCCACATGGAGAAGCGCGTCTTGTCGGCGTCGACGGCGGTGGTCAGGAGGGGCGCGAGCTCGGAGACGGTGGAGCCCAGGCGCGCGCGGTTCTGGGTGGTGACGAAGACGGGGAGGGAGAGGAGCGAGGCGGCGCGCAGGAGCTTGGTGGTGGTGGAGATGACGGCGTCGAGGTGGTGGATGGTGGGGCGGAAGGCTTCTTGGATGTCGCAGACGCTGTAGAGGGGGGTTAGATTGGGGGGTTATGGGGTGATGGGGGGAGTGGGGGGGTGGAAAGGGGGGGCGTACAAGACTGCGGCGTTGGCTTTGGGGGAGGGTTAGTGTCTGGTTTGGATGATGCGGGTTTCGGGGGAGAGGGGGGGGACTCACGCATGCGCCGGACGAAGGTTGAGGCGGCCATTTCTACAGTGGGTGGTGGTGATGATGTTTTGGGGTCGTTGTGATGGTGGTTGTCTGTGCTGTCCAGGTCAGTTAATGTCTGACATGTGCCGGAAGGAATGCCATTGAGATGAGAGAACAAGAAGGAAGTGGCGACATGGCATGGAGCTGTGTGCAGGACCACTTTATCAGGACACTTACATGAGTGGACGCTGAAAACAATGGATCGAGGTTCCAAAGACAAACTGAAAATGAAAATGGCTACCTCGGACTAATAAATATGTAAACCGTACCAAGCCGGATATCACCGCTTCCTTCCCGATCCTCGGCTCTTCCCCCCGGGTTGGAGTGCGGGGTAACCGGGGCGGCTTCCATGTTCCCGGCACTTGGGGATGGTACCCACCCCGCTATCTCCGTTCCGGCACCCGGGGTTGCGGAACGCCCTGGGTTGATCCGGAAAGCTCAATGGCGAGCTCGACCCTGCGTGCCACTATGAAACCACCCTCGTCCTCATGTTTAAACACCCTAGCCCCCTCCACCGCCCACGAATTGTCCCCCCTCGCCACCATTTCCTTCATCTCGCTCAACTCGTCCAGAAAGGCAGGCACAAATGTCCCCGGTCCCCTCACCTCCTCCCTCTTGGCTGCCCGCTCGGCCGCTATCTCGTAGTATACTATCGCCGCAATCACCCCGCGAATCCCCGGCGTCACCGCCACCCCCGCCGAGATGGCCGTGCCGAGGCAACACCCAGTCCCCGTGACCTCTGCGAGATACTTGTGCCCGTTGCAGATCTCAAAGACCGTCCCGCCGTCGCTGACAAAGTCCTTAGCGCCAGTCAGCACCACAACGCACTTTTCCCGCTGGGCAAGGCGGCGGACGAGATCGCCCTTCTGGATGTCGCTGAGTGTGCTGTGGCTATCAACGCCGCGCTGCTGCTCGGGATTCTCGTCCGTGGAACCGGCCACGGTTCGGATTTCGGCCTCGTTGCCTTTGATCACGGAGACACGACCGGCCGCGAGGATCTGGCGGACCGCGGCGCGGCGGATCGACGTGGCGCCGGCGCTGGAACGGGGCTGTTAGTGTGGGTTGGAGCGAGGGGTGGGGAGGGACCTACCCGACGGGGTCAAAGACGACAGGGCGGCCTGCCTTGTTGTAGGCCTGCAAGGCCTCTATGTAGTTGGTGATGCCTTCGGGCGTGACTGTGCCCATGTTTATGACCAGGGCACCGCCGAGCTTTGCGAGGTCGGCAGCTTCTTTACCATGGTTCGCCATGATTGGGGATGCGCCCATGCAGAGGGCGACGTTGGCAGCAAAGTTCTGGACAACCTGTTGTTTGCGGTCAACAGTGCTTCTTGGTACGACATGGCCGGTGACGGGGAAGTACCAGATTCGTCATGTTGTGCGAGACGGGCTTTTGCTTTTGAAAAGCGCGAACCACCTCCCATAGCATCACAACGAGGCTCTTGTCTGGGTCTTCCAGCAATAGGGGCTGGCGCTTCGGGTGGTTATCGATCAGGTCCACGAACCGTTTGGCCGCGAGCTCGGGGTTGGGATCGGCTACAATGGCGCTTACCACAGCTACGCCGTGGACCTTAGGCACGATGAGCCCGCTCTCGGTGAGCACACGCTGGACGTTTTCGTGGTTGATGCCGCCGATGCAGACAGCAGGGATCGAGTGTCCAGCTTGCTTGACTGCCATCATGATCTCCAGGACGCCGCGGGGCCCGATGATCTCTTTGGTGTTTTTCTTTCTGTCGATGGTCAGTTTTGGTGGACCAGGGGAGCCAGCTGGTACAGGTATCTCACGTCTGCGTGGCATAAACGGTTCCGATACCGAGGTAATCGGCACCGCCTTCGCAAGCCCGGATCGCCTCGTCTTTCGTGCTGGCCGTGATACCGATGATAGCGTCCGGACCAAGAATTTCCCGAGCTGTGGCCACATCTAAGGGCCGTGTCAGCCCTGTCTCGTCTTCTCAGCGTCGTGCAAATAAGAGGGAACGTACCCGCGTCATCCTGCCCAAGGTGTACCCCCTCGCACTTAACGGCCAGGGCGACATCGAGGCGGTCGTTGATGAGCAGCGGCACGCCATGCCCCCTCGTCACCTCGAGCAGACGCCGGGCAATGCTAATCAGGTCGGCGGTACTGCTGGTCTTGTCACGGAGCTGCACAATCGTGACGCCACCGGCGCAGGCCTTGTCGACGACATCGACGAGGTCGCGGTCGCCGAGGATGTCCGGAGTCGAGTCCGTCACCAGGTAGAGCGTGTAGTCGATGTTTGACTTGCCCATGTTTATCGTGAGGGGCGTGGGGTCTGGAGGATACTTTCTGTAGCGGGTTGTTGGCTGACAGTGACGGTTGTCGGGTGGAATAGGTATTCTGTGCTACGTACGGTTGGAGTGAGGTTGAGGGTTTGTGAGGTTCCAATCTTGGCACGACTCCCCCCCTTTTCCAAGAATTCCTTGAATGCAAGTGAGAATACTACGCAGAAAAAAAACCCCAGAGAAATGTCGGTTGTTGTGCTCAAGGGGACATGAACATGAAATTTTCGGTCTAGATAAAAGAAACCGTTGCCAGCGTTCCCTTGGTCCTGCCGCACCCGCTTGTGTGAGGCTGTGAGCAATCGGGGCTGGCGGAGTACCTACATTGAGAAGGCAGGAACTGTCTTGGATCAGGCGATGACTGTGGTGCTGGGGTAGTTGCAACTTGCAAGAGCGACCCTTTCATGACGGGTTGTTAGAACCCAGATAGGTACCTTCCATCTCCAGGGGATCATCTTGAGTCATCTCCGAAAAGACGAGGACTAACAATGGTGCACGCTGCCTTCACCACAGTGAAAAATAGGTAGGCACTCAAGATGCGGTAAATTCATCCCACCCTAAGAAGCAAAACTCAACAAACGCCCGAGACAGTAGGTGGCAAAAGAGAAAGGTCGTACCAGGGCTCGAACCTGGGTTACTGGAAATCGATGAATGTGTTATACATCAAAATCCAGTGTGATAACCACTACACTATACAACCGCCAGAATTTCTAAGCAGCTGGTTGGACGAGCGCCCTGGAAAAGCTCTACATGGTAGGTGTGTTGAGACAGTTTTCAGAGATCCCATCTCCACGAGCCGGCGGCCATATCCTTCGCATATATTTACTCTAGCAAAAGGGAGGAAACTTCAAACCTACGTAAGTCTAGAAAGCAAACCGGACGGCTATCAACCTATTACGTCTCTTCATATCCGGCCCAGACGCCAGAGGGCGAAAACAGTATCATGCTTTTGAGTTCTTGGTTTTATCTAAACCCGTCTATCTACACCCATCACCTCAGTGACCTCAGACCTTGCTTGACATCTCAGATGGACAGCTGCGCCGTCTCAGTCGTCAGCAATGCCTCCTCGTACCGCGCCAGCTTCTCCTTGACCTCGCCGTTGCAGTAGTCCTCGACAATCTTGCCGCAGTTGCCGATAAACAGCTTGGGGTCCATCAGGCTGTCAATGTCATTCCATACGGGCTGTCGTCGTGTTAGCACTGCCAAGCTTCGTTGTTCACCCCTTTGGATAGGAGACCTACCTTGAAGAACTCGGCCTTCTTGATGCGCTCGAGCAGGTCGTTTGTGCCGCCCTCCTGCTTGACGACGGCGCTTGCTTGGTGGGACTGTGGTTGTTAGTTACGAATGTATGTTTGACTCGGGAGTTGGGACATACCAGCACGCGGATCTCCTCGTGTGCGTCCTGGCGGGACACGCCGTGGGTCGAGAGCTTCATCAGGATGGACTCGGTGGCCACTGTGACACATGTTAGGGGCTGAAACTGCTGGATAAGCAACGAAATACGCACTGAATGGGAGCTCCTGGTTGATGCGGGAGCGAATGACACTGGGGTAGATGACGAGGCCGTTGGTAACGTTGTCCAGGGCCAGGAGGATCGAGTCGGCGAGGAGGAACTGAATGTTGTTAGCGTCTCTGCTATGGAACATATGCATTGCGAACATACCATCTCGGGGATGTCCATGCGACGGATGGCGCTGTCGTCGAGACTGTAGTTGTTGAATTAGCCATGGCCGTATATCTTGTTTGGTGGACATTGCTTACGTTCGCTCAAACCACTGCGTCTCAAAGGTAGCGGTAAAGTTGGCCGGCAGACGGGCCAGCTTTCGGCCGAGGGCAGTGATGCGCTCCGAGCGCATGGGGTTTCTCTGCTCAAGTGGTCAGGACTGTGACAAATACTCTACTGTGCATCCTGGATCCTACCTTGTAAGCCATGGCAGAGCTTCCCTGTGTATTGTCAGTCGTGAACCCCAAGACAAAATCACGGGTGGCTTACGATCTGGCTCTTCTCAAACGGCTCCTCCATCTCCTTGAGGTTGGCGAGGTGGCGGATATCAGAGCAGATGCGCTCCGCAGTGGCGCCGAGGGCGCACACGGCATTGGCAACGCGGAGGTCGACCTACTTGCTGTGAGTCTCTTGCCCACACATGGCTGAGGACATTATCGTACCTTGCGGGTGTAGGTCTGCGTCGAGATGGGATAGGCAGAAGGGAAGCCGGCCTTCTTGCAAAGAATGGCATTGAGCTGCTTGATCTTGTCGGCGTCGCCGTTGAACAGCTCGAGGAAAGTGGCCTGCGAGCCGGTGGTGCCCTGTGCTCCACGGAACTGAAGGCGCTCACGGACAGTCTCGATGTCCTCGAGATCCATCATGAGCTCCTGGATCCATTGCGCCGCGCGCTTCCCTGAGGGGGGTTAATGGAATTACGCGGGATAGAGTTGGGTACTCATACCGACGGTGATGAGTTGGGCCTACAACCAGGAGTCAGGATTTGCTCGATAATGAGAAGGATGACCAATAACTCACAGCCTGGTAGTGAGTGAAACCGAGGGTGGGGAGGTCCTTGTGCTCAAGGGCAAAGGTCTGCAGGTTCTGGATGACCTTGGCAAGCTTGGGGAGGATGAGGTCCAGGGCGCGCTGCTGGAAGATGAGATCCGCATTGTCGGTGACTGTCAATGTTAGCCTTGATGGGTCTCATCAGTGCCCAGGTAGACGCAGAAACATACCATAGCAGCTGGTAGCCTAAAACATCATCAGCCACCCTGAAAGCAACACCACCCCCCAAGTCAAAAACAGCACCAGGACCACCTACACCAAGATGAATCGACCCCGCCGCAGCCGGCGCCTCCTACATCACACCACCCTCATCAGCACCCCCTCAGCCCGTCAACTCCTTCAGACAGTCCAACATACCTCGCCATAAGCGTGCACATGGGCCATCACGTCATGCTGCCGCCCCTGTTAGTACTCGTCGTCTCCCACCGGCAACATGAAAACTCACACGAAACTTCTTCTCGTACTCATTCGCCAGCTTGAAAGCATCGTCCGACACAGTAACGTGGTCACGCATCTGGGTAATGGCTTCGTCCGAGATGTCGAGCCCCAGCTCCTTCTCGGCCTCGGCCAGCCACACCCACAGCTGGCGCCAGGTCTCGGCGCGGGTGCGGGCCGAGAAGATGGACATCATCTCGGCCGACGCATAGCGCGTGCTGAGGGGGGTCTGGTGAAAGGGGTTAGTGGATGTTGTTTTCGGATATTTCCCGCAAGGGAATAAGGGGGGGCGTCAGTTTACCTGGTACTTGTCGAAGCTGGACATGGTGGCGTTTTGGTGTGGTTGATGCTGGAGGGGAGAGGGGGTTAGATGAAGAAGGGAAGGTGGGAGGGAGTTGTGAGGGTATACCTAATATTTACAAGAAAAAAAGAGCAACACCGTAACGTCTTGCTCGGATCAATGGCAGTTCGCGATTTCGGTGCAGCTCCGGGCAGCGGGAAAGTCAACAGAGCTCAATGGCGGGGGCGGGGTCGGCGTCAGGGGGCCGTTATTTTTTCTGGGGTGGGGTGACGCCCAGTCGGCGTCAGACCACTTCCTGACCATGAAAGACAGCTGTTGATTTCAGTTACGGGTTAGGGTTACACACAGTATATATTCGGAGTTGCTACAGCGATTCAGACAACTCCTCCCAAGACAACAACTTGGGCAAGGTATAATGTATTTGGAGATCAATCGGGGCTTAAAGTCTTACAGGCAAGCTCGCAGGGTTCACATATCCCTGTTCAACCAGAACAGATCCATGCGCAGGCGCAGTCTCAACTTCTCAAGACATAGGTACCACCTTCTCTTCTCGACTCTCATGCCAGAGACCTGCCCCTCTGTGTCTGCCGTCCTTTATGCAAAACACACTTGCCGGCCAGTCCTCATCAACTCGCCAATTGGGTCAACTGCCACCTGTGAAGCTATTCCCAGTACGGCCATGTACAACCCTAACCCTCATATTAAAAAGAGTGCTGCCCCGTGCCTTGCATCATCGGCCCAAACCATCGTCATGATGAAGCATGTTCTTGTCACAAGACAGGTTGGCTCGTCGGGTTGATTGGGCGTTTTCAAGAAGACACACCGACCACGTGCCTCGTCCATCGTGTGATGCTCAAAAGAGACTGCAGGTTGATGCTGCTGGACTCGACCGCTTCCTGGTTGTTTGCCGGTCAGGGGTTGCCGGAATTCATTCATGGCACTTAAACAGAGCCCCTGTTGGCTGACCGCCCCGGTATCGGGTCGGACTTTGAATGACGGAGGGCGGTTCCATTCGGGGTCCCCGACTGCTGAACCCCAGTGCCGTCCGTCCCCGATGGACGGAGTGTCCGAGCGCAAAGTCGGTCGCTTGCGCTTGCACAATGTTGAGGTGGAGGGGCTCTTGGTCTTCTTGTACAGGATGGCCCGGTGAATCGATGATTTTTTACTTGGCCTGCTGATGATGTGCTCTTTTTGTGGCTTTCCCTCCGCCTTTCCCCGGAATTCCCAGGCCAGGCGGTCCAGGCCCGTCGGTGAAGGCAGCAAAGGCTGGGCAAAGGCTTGAACAGTGGCTCGAGAAAAGCTTGGGTGCTGGAAAAAAGAGCTTCTCTCGCTGAAGCCCAACAGGAAGGCCGGAACTCGCCTGGGCGGTCGCTGGGCACCAGCAGCCAAGCCTTGGCGGTGATCATGACCGACGTCGTCGTCTGACAGCGATGTGATACCCCCCTCTGCGTTCGAACAGCAGGAAGCTCTTGCTTTCGCCCCAAGTGCGGTGTGCGATGGTTTCCCGTGGCGGCTTGCTGTGCGGCTTGTGAAAGGCCGTCGCGTCCTCTATCTGTCCTCTCCATCCTCTCTGTCCTCGGATACCGGGGGGCGGGGGTGGTCAGAAGACGGGAGCTGAGGGCGACGACTTTCTCTCTCATATCTCTGCCGTTTCGCCGAAAGTCCAACCGCGCCGGATCGAACATGTCAAATGATTGGGCATTGGGGCTCGCGGGAGACTGCGATTCCCGGGTTGCACTCATCCCGTCACTTGACCCGACTGGGCAATCCGTCATCGACCATGCAGCACCTCAGCATCTCAGCCGAGGGGATGGCGGGGGGGAGCCTTCGGCCTCCGGTATGGCTTCGCAGGCTCTCGACAAAGACTGTAGGGCTGGATGCGCGTGTCAGTCTGGTGTGGCCAATTTGTGCCACAGCTTCTGGAAGATCGAGTCAAGAGACAGACAGGCTACAGCAGCGTGCCACAGCGTGCCTTCGAGACAGACCCAGAGCTCTGGGAATTGGTGACTGGGAATTGGGGAAATTGAGTCTGGAAAACTTCCCTTCTGGGATTGCGTGTTTGTTGCTGTCGTGCCGTCGGCGCTGCTGTACTGCACTGCCCTGTGATAGTCCGACGTCTGCACTCGACGATAATGCATGATTCGGGGGACGGAGTACCGAATGGCTTGACAGATGTTGTGTGCCTGGTCCCTGGGGCCTGGACTCTGGCAGAAGGGGAACCAGGTCCAGGTCCCATTCCCATTTCCGCACGGGTTCCATGGAGCGAAGGGAAAGTGCAAGAAATTATATTTGGTCCCTGATGACCATGGGCCAGGGAAGTGGACGGCCCACACTTACAGGGCCAGAGCAGAGCTAGCGCCGCTGATTAGCACAGTGCAAGATTATGTGGTGTTGATTGAGGTGCGTCCAAGAT